TAAAAGCAGGATTTTAAAGACAATACCATTTTTTGGGGAACACAAGTCACTATTCTCATGAATTTGTAATTTACAGGCTGAGGGGCAGCTTTTCTCTGGGCTTGAGCAATGTAAGCCAGCAGCTCCTCCAAAGCATGACTGCTGGCTCGTGCCTGAGGCGTTCCTTGGAGCTCTCTAGACTGGGGAAGAAAAGCTGACTTGAGGTCAGCTTAGCCAGCTTGCCTTGATGGAAACCCCTCTTATCTCTGCAACCAGAGCTGAGATCATTTGCCCTGGTCACCCTTTAACTGCAAACACAGTGCTGCTGGCAGGACAACCCACTCCAACTCCCAGAAGGGTCAAACCTTCCTCCCCCTCACTCCAACAGAGGAGTTGTGCCTTTTCTGATCACAAGGACTCAGAGTCTGGGCAAGTCTTAGCTCAGCTCCTGGTTTGGAGAGGACCAGTGAGAGCATTATGCTCAGCCAGGGCAAAAGAAGTTGAGAACTACTGCCCACAGAGATGTTGTCCCATTATTGGATTCACTTGGTTTGAGAAGGGAGTAGGATTCCAAGTACCCTTTTTGAGTATAGGAACTCACAAACCTGTTAGGAGCCCTTGTTTTGTTTCAGGATTTCACAGGATTTTCCCATTAACTTATTTCTTGAAGAATTTGGTTGAGCAGATTTTATTTTTGCACACTGAAAGAGCAAAATGCTCCCTCTATATCTTTGCCATAGCTTACCTGTCATTAAAAATGTAGAAATTTTCACAGAATTCAAGAGATCTGATGATATCCATGCAGAATTTGGCTAAAGAGGGAGCTGTTAAAGGGCAAGAGATGGGAATAGGACCCAGTCATCTTACATGCTGTAAGGCTGGTCTTTCTTTGGGCTCAAAGCTACAAGTGAGCAGGATTTCCAGGCAGAAGAACAGAAGCTCAGCAGGAATGACACAAAGTTAGTGTAGGCATGTTTCAGGCTTTTTTTGCATTTAATAATTTATCCCCTTTATTCCTGAATTAACACAGAATGTAAATCTTGTGATCATTACACAAAGCCTAGTTTACACAATGATGAGCAAAACCCAAGGACAGTCCCCAATACAGAAATGTCAAAATCTAAAGGCAGAATCAGAGGACTTGAGGCTCACTAGAAAACCAAAGGAAAGACCAAAATGGCATTCTCAAATATATATTCTAAAGATTACTTGGCACTGTTCTCATAATTTTTAAAGATCCTTTGGGGGATCTGCCAGTGTTGAGGTAAAGCCTTAGAGAACTTTACCTCATTTTAGGTTAATATTACAAGACTTTCATATATGGCAAGCTACTAGGACAAACTCTGCCAGAAAAGTGCTCCTCTCATCAGCACATTTCATGTTTAGTCCAAACTATCGGTTTATTTTTTAATTAGTTTTTTAAAAAGTAGATTACTTTTTGTGAAGCAGTGAATATATAACAATATATTGTTCCCCCTAGAGACAACATATGTACAATGCATATGATAGGCATGATATACACAAATAAGATGACTGTGTGACAGATTAGTAACCAGAGGCCATGAAAGAGCAGAGGGATAAAACAAAAGTAGTAAATGTTTGGTCACTTTTGAGAGTTAATTTGGTCATCACATTCTTTTGTGGGTTTTTTTTTTTGTGATAATCAGATTGTGCAAATATCATTATAACAACGGTTCAAGAAAAATATTAACATTAAATGACAAAGCACAGACTTGAAAGATACTCTAATATTGAATTTCCCAGATGAAATTTAGAGATTATTGTAGCAACAATTAAACAAGCTATTCTGCCAAGGAAAGATTAAAAAAAGTACCTTTTAAAGCACCAAACAGTGCTTTAACCACACACCAAAAACCACACACCAAACCACACACCAAAATCTCTATCCAAGCAGAGAATTGTGTGCAGACTCACACCTTGGTAGTAAATAAATTAGAAAGCACCCACTCTGAAGAAGTGCTCAGCACAGTGCAGATTAAGCTCTTTTCTCCCTTCTCCTCCATCACCTATCTTCACTATAGCCTCCAGGACCAAAATGGACTTTTCTCATCCTCACACCATTACCTTTACTTCAAATGGTCTTCTGCACCCTAAGAAGTATTTTCATTTCTCTGTTATGGAGTTCTATGTTGGTTTGGAGTGTCATGTTCTGATCTTTCATTGCTTTGATGAAAAAAGCCCCAGTGTAGCATTTTGCTGTAGCAAAAACTGAGCTTTTAGTAGTGTCATATTTTCTATCTTGGAAATAGCTTTTCTTTCAAATTGCCATTTAGTCTGGTGGCCACCACTATCCCACTTTGCCAGCACAAACATGAGCAAAGTGCTGCTTGTACAGACTTTGGGTGTACCAGAAATAATTGCAGTAGAATAATTTCACTCAAGAGTGTGAGTACAACACTTGTTGGCAGTTGAAGCAATTTTTACTGAGTCTGAACAACACTGCCTTTTAGGGTAAATATGTTATGTCCTGGGTTGATATGCCATAGTGCATTATTCTACTAAAATTTAAGGTATTTACTGAAGCACATTGCAATTCCGAGATTAGCCAAAGTAACAAAACTTTTTCATTTCTTTTTCTAGCATCCATTAATCTATTTGGAATTCAATACAATATGTTAAAAAACCTTTCAAGCTCATCATACAGAATTGCTGAATATTTCTGTGCTATTGATTACACACATGGATAGGCTGCTCCAGAAAAACAGCAACTAGACAGCAATGTGGCTATGGAGAATTTGGGAATGTCACCAAAATCACCACTGGGATGCCATATGAGTATTACTGAAAGAGAAGGAGCAGTTACTCTTTCTCAATGTATCTTCAGTGTATCCTCTGTTTTCTCTCCTCAAAGTTTTCTCTGTAGCCCTAAGTCCCTCTTTCTTTTCCCATTAGCTCAGGACCTCCTAAGGGTATTTCCCATCCCAGGGCCAAAACTTAGTATTTACTTCTGTAACAATGTTCCTATAGTTATTCTGTAACAGTTTCCTTATTCTCATATTATTTGACAAAAGAGGTCATATAATTGTCACAATTTTGCAACTCCAACTGATTTTGAGGTGGTGGTTCATTATATTTTGGAGACAGGTCAGTAGCAGAAATAAAACCAGTGCCCCAGGCACAGCAGGGCTGTCCCATGCTGAATTCCAAGGACACTTTTCTTTCTGCCAGCCTGCTCCCTGAGTGCTGTGCCAAGATGAGGGATGCATGGTGAGCCTGAGGAAGAAGCAGGCACAGACATCAACTTGGGCACACAGGGCAGCTGATGGACTTTTCATCTTGTGACTGAAGAACAGGTCATAGCACAGTGGAGTTTCATTAAATCTACACAGCTCATGTTCACTGCTCTTTCCCAACTTTCATTTATCTCTAAAAGACAGAAGCAAAGGCTTTATGCTTTTTTTTTTTTTTTTTTTTTTTGTGGGAAACTTGCTGTCCTTGAAACTGCTTTGCCATTAATTCAGAGAGAGGTCACAAAATCACAAAACCCACATGGCCACAGCTGGGCTGCTGCTGCTCCCCTGGGGCTTGGACTCGGTCACAGCTGCCCAGGCATCCCCACACACACAGAGCCTCCTCAGTGCTGGGGCTGGGAATGGCTTCTGCATCCTCTAAGCACCTCTGGCTTCCACATGAGTTTGCTCAACCAAATGAAGACACACCACAGTTTGTGTTTTTCAAACAGGTAACAGATGATATTACAAAGTCACAAACACCAAAGACATCACTGAGCTTAACAGATGCAAAACTCAATGCACCAATCCATTTTGAAGATTAAAATGTTAATAACATAGTGTAAGTAATGAATATAAATTTTCTCCCCCAAAACAATGACATTTCCTGAGTAAAAGTTGCTTGGACTTTACTTACTATCCAAATTACTGGCCTTCTGCATTCAGCTGTCACTTATATGAGAAACCTTAGGTTTACCAAAATTCTCTGTTCTACTACTAAAGACAATTAAACTTTCCCATTTCACCAAATGTCTCACTGGGTTTATTATTTTCCCATTTCACCACAGACATCTTGGAATATGAAAAATATGAAAATCTTAAAATAGTTTCAAGAAAGTGTGTTTCATTACCTAAAAGAGAGCAGAGAGCAGTTCTACCTGGGAGAAATTCTGAACCACCTGATTAATTCTGTTATGATAATAATTACAAGACAATATTAGTAATGCAACATAAATGTTGTTTTTTTCAAAACAGCTTTCACATATTTAGCTCAATGATACTATGAAGGTAGAATTTTACTTAAAAGTGCAGTATTCATATACTGTACAGCAAGATGCACAGGAAGTAAAATGATTACTATATGGGAGAAATCCTCTGTATGCATTAATACTGAGATAATAAGATTGAGAAATACCCAAAACTTAGGTATGTGAATATAAAGTAACTTACACGATGATCATAAACCCCCTGCCCCCCATATTAACAACTGAAATTCCATTTTAGGGACCATTAAAGAAGAGAACTTTGCTTAAAGAACGGTCTGTAAACTTTGCTTGAATGACAAAACATTGTAACCATGCATATATATTAAAATTTTCAAGCCTTTATACTTACATTACTGAAATTATATACCTGCAATGTTGGCATTGTATCTTTATGAAGTTCAACAGCAATAGATACATCAGCCTTTCCATGGATAACTAACTTATTGCTAAGTCAAGAAAACAGTTGGAGACTTATTTCATTTAAAAGCAGTCTTATTGAAAAATAGCATTGAACAGTACATTAGATAGGTACACCAAAATAAAAAGACCCAAAAGAACAACCCACATGGTTCATTTTGAAAACTCAGTTGTTCTCCTGACACTGGTAAATCAATGTAGCAATCCCTGTGCCTGCACACAGTTCAAACCCTTCTTCCACTTCCACGCTCCTTATGTACCCCTGAAACCCAGGACTGTCACTGGAGCAGGAGCTGTGTTTCAGTAACTTCTCATAAAAAGCATTTAAATGCACTTTCTACATTACCAGAATAATGACAGTAAGTCAGACTTGTTGACGCATTTTATTGTGAGATGGGGAGTCTGGTAAAAAACTAGAAAATGACCATGATGTAACAAGGAACTTAAAAATGAAGTTTCAGATTTGTAACATACATACATGAATACAGGAACAAATTGGCACAAAAATGTTAAACATTGTTCCCAACACTGTTTTATAAGATTATTCTAATTTGGCTTACTAAGGAAATGAGAGTTTTATGGTTAGACTAATCTCTTAATAAAACTGCAGAGCATCATGCTATTAGTCACACAGTGAATTTCAAAATTTAAGAGCTTTATATTAAAAACTGGGTAAAGGTAAAATGAATTGATTGCAATTGTAAAATTAATACATTCCCATTTTAATTCTTCTGTTCTACAGTCCAAGGCAAGTATAAATGTTAACATAACACTGTTAAATCAAATCTCAATGCAAGAGAACCGATTGCATCTCTACTTTAAATCTTATCAACTTTCCAAATTTTCATACTAAAATATATTATTGTATTAATACAAACTACAGTATTATACACTACACTGTGTAATAAATAAAGAAATATAAAAATAAGACACATAAATATAAAAGTTTTCTAAAACTAAAAAGGTACATATGTCAGTAAGAAGGGTATTAATACTGCCAGGTTTGAAGACATACAGTACAAAATGTTGCACAGATCTATAAACTAAAAGAAATAAAATAATACTGATAGGTAAAAATCAGCTAACATTGTTAATAAATGGGGTCCATAATAACTAACATTTGAAAATACTTATGAGCCAGATAACATGTCATGTATGTGTCTGAAATTAAAGTAAACCAATAAAGCAATAAAGCAGATTAGAAAATTTCCCTTGTAATTATTGTAGAGAAATTCTGCAAGGCAGGTATTAACCCAAAATACCACCAAATAATTAAATAATGAAATATACCAGTGTTCTTACTTCTCTGATGGCTGAGTGTTTTTTCCCCATGAATAGTTTAGAAGTTTGATACAAATCAACAAATGCTAGTTATTGTAGGCCACACATTGGGTAAAGGCTGCTTAGAGCCTTTGTAATACTGATAAATGGCACTTACAGCACATAGGTCTTGCATAAGGCCAAAGGAGATACAAAGCTTCATATCATATCCTTCATATTGTTACTACATACTCAAACACAATTACAAACACTGTTTTTGACAACTTTCCTGTCCTTACCAGTATCAACACTGTTAGTCCCTGCAATCAGAACTCAACGACAATCTTCTCAACTACATTTTTAACCACATGAGTAAGAAACTTCAGTTCTTCTATCATCTTCTTCATTAAGGCTAACAATACACTTTAAATGATAATATGCTCTACTACAACATCTAATGTCATAAACTGCTACCTTCTAGGTTGAATTTACAAAGGTAGCCAAGCACTGTTTGCAACTGCATTACACGTCTCTGCGAAAGGGAATTTTGTAGTGCAGAAGTTCTCACATTGTAAAACATAAGAAAATACTGAAGCGGATTTAGGAAATGTTTTACCATAAAAAAAAAAAAAAATCATATAAATCTCTCCCAATTGTACAGTTTAAAAATTAATCAACTTAAGAATGAAAATTAATACTGATAAAACAAACAATGCCAGATGCTTGTCTAATAATCAGGTTTCCTACAACCTGGTAAATCTTTGCTTCCAGAGTCACTGTATTTTTCTAATCTGCTTCATGTTATAAACTTGTTCCTAACTTTGAAAACTGTGTGAAAAATTACTAAGTTTGAGGTTCAGGCACACCTGGATTTCTTTTTTTTTTTCTTTTCATTTTTTTATATATATATTTTTTTACACAGTAGTGAACAGAAATCACAGTATGCAGGCTACTGCGTTTCCATGAAAAGCATGTATAATATAGAAGGAACTTCATTACCAATTTTTTTTTCCTTATAGAAAAAACCTAGCACGTAAGCTTTATTCATTATTTTCTTCTGACACCTGCCCATTATTTTGTATAACTTCTGGTTCTGCATTGCTTGCTTGATTTACAGCTTCATCATTCTTGTCACCTTCAGTTTTCCCTTCTTCCTCTTCTACTGCTGCTACTTCTTCCGCATCCCCTACTTCTTGTAGTTCCCTACATTCTTTTTCTTCCTGAAGTCCCTCTATGTCTTTTTCTTCCTCCTCCTCTTCCTCTTTTTCACTGTACTCCTCCTCCTCCCTGGTTAGGCTCTCCCTCTCATCCGAGTCGATCTGCGAGGGGGACGCCCTGGGCACGGCGTGCTCGCTGCTCAGCGCCTCGGGGCCCAGCTCCTCGGGCTCGGCGCTGTCGCGCTCCTCGGGCTCCCTTTTGCAGTAGGAGTAGCGATGGTTCATGTGCTGAGAGTAAGAGCCCGAGTGGGAAAACCTCTTTCCACACTTGTCACATTGGTAGGGCTTTTCCCCAGAATGCAGTCGCATGTGTTCGATCAAATGGTGTTTGTGTTTAAATGCTTTCGTACAGATTCCACACTCGTGAGGTCTTTTACCTGTAAAATAAAGCACAAACAGTTGGGCATCTTGTAGCTGAAGTTTTAAAAATGTGCACTGCTGTTTTCATTGTAAAATGCTGTTGGTGAACATATTAGCATAGATGAAATTTTATATAACAAGATGTTCTACTCAATGCATTATCAGCCTGAGTTTCTCTCCTGAGCCCAAAGGACAAAGGTGCAACGGTACGTTGTCACAATCACTACAGTCATTTGTAACTTTTTTTGGAAAACTCATCATCTCATAAAGAGATTCTCATATATAACTTTTAGCACCAAAAAAGTGCAAAAATAAATTAGAAAATGAGACATTTTTCTTGCATAAATTATTTTCAATTGAAACCATTTTAACTTTTCTATATTGATGGTATTTTAAAATTAGCTAAGCTTTTACGTTGGTGTTGGTGTACGAAGTCCTTCCATGATACAGGTAAAAGGAAAATCATTCTAAAATCTAGGCTGAATGCTTTATGTACAAAACTTGCTGACTATGCATGCATTGACATGAAAAAAAATCTGTTTCCCTCAGTGTGTTTCTGCTGTTTTCCAGCTCCTGTCTTGTTTTTAGAGTCTCTTAGAAATGTATCAGGAGCCTAGCAGTGTTATTTTGATTTTGACATTTAAAGCTGTTACACAAAATGACTTTGCAGTCTTAGCTCAGACATAAAAGACAAAGACAGTAAGACATCAGGTTTCTGATCACACTACACAGACGACCAGCACAACCACGACATCTCATGCCAAACAAGGAACAAGGCAGATGTTGGTTTCTCTTCCTAAGAAAGAAGTGATAGGACAAGAGGAAATGGCCTCAAGTTGTGCCAGGGGAGGTTTAGATTGGAAATTAGGAACAGTTTCTCAACCAAAAGGGTTGTGAAGCACTGGCTGCCTGGGGAAGTGGCTGAGTCACCATCCCTGGAGGTACTTAAAAGACAAGCAGATGTGGCACTTTTGGGACAGGGTTTACCAGTGGACTTGGCAGTGCTGGGTTAATGGTTGGAGTCAATAATCTTAAAGGTCTTTTCCAACCTAAATGATTCTATGATTTTGAATGTTACATTGAAGTTACAACTGGTAGGGGAAGAACAATTCTGCTAGGAAAAGGAAGAGTTAAAAGAGTCTCAGGACAGGATAGGTATGAAATAAGACACCCTTAATGAATACAACTTGAGAAAATTGATCAAGACAAAAAAGATTTTGTTATGCTTTTAATTTTATATGTGAGATAACATTAAAATGTTAATATGCAGAAATATAATTAATTATAATAATTCAGCTACTCTGTCAACCAAGAAAGTAGAGCAGCATGAAGGGAGTAGCCAGAAGTTCTAAAGAGTTTATTTTATGGATATGGGGAAAGAGAAGATAACAGAGCCAGCAATAATACAAAACCCAACACATATTTGGCAATATATAGTACAAAACCCAATATATATATATTTGGGACCTAATCAGTAAAAAAAAAAAAAAAAAAGAATTCTTACTTTAAGACACCACAGAAGAAATAAGAGAGCAAGAGGTAATAAAAATATCCTAAAGATACCAGAACCTGAGCCAAAAGAATTAAAAATAAAAATCAAAGCCAAAAGGGTGTTCATTAGCAGTTAGATTCTATGTCTAATGAATAGCTGAAGCTGTTAACTTCAGGGCATTATAAATGTAGCCCAGTTGGAAAATCCTTCATGCCAGATATGCACACTGTTTTTCATGCACAATATCAAATACATACATGATCCTTTTTCCCTCAGCTTTTATTTTTAATTTTTTCAAAATTTATAACCAGGCAAGGTAAATTAGAAGTAATATATCCTCATTTATAGGCTGTAGCTCACAGATGATTATCCACAAGCCAGATGCAAAAACTCCCCTTTTTCTATTTAGGGTTTAGGTCTAACAAATTCAAAGAAAGACAGAATTGCTGTTCTGTCAAACAAATATACAAAACCAAGTGTTTCTAAAGAAAGCTTAGCACAGGCAGTAAGGACTGCTACACTTCCCTACACCACCTGAGAACTGGGTTCCAGTTGAGATTATCAGTTACATGCTACCAAAGAAATAACAATCAGAAAAGTCTTTTCCTAGTACATACCTGTGTGTTCATACTTATGTCTCAATAACGAGCTGCTCTTCTGGAATATTTTGTCACATAAATCACATGCATACATCCCATTTTCTGTCTTTCTCATTTTTTTCTTTGGGGGTGTTGAATCAGAATCATTTTGATCTTCTAGATTGGATATTCCTTCTGAGCTAGTGTCTTGCCTTTCATCCTTCAAAAAAATTATAAAAATAGGTTAACTCCAATAAAAGAAGTCACTCACATGAACTGAAGCTTCTATTCCCATTCAATTCCATAAATAGCCAAACAAAATTGTTTAGACTTCCACAGTCAAAAAAAAAAACCCTTTACTGCATTGTTCTGCTTTGCAGTCCCTGCCACCAGCCAGATACAGATTTCCTCACTGGGACTGGTTTTAATCACATCCAAATATGACTGTTGGCCAGGTCTAAGCTATGTTTTAGGGCCCATAAAATAAATGCATTATTACAGACCTGTAAAGCACTTCAGTAAGTGGGAAGGGCAAATTTGTCACCTAACTGCATCTTTCAGCTAATGCTGGTCACCTACCTTTTGCTGCCTCAGAGATTTTATGAAGTTAAAAGATTGTTTTTGCTGAAGTTTTCACAAAAAACCTATTTAAATTACCATTCAAATTTGCATATTTGACTACCCTCTTCCTCATGAAACTACCACAAGTACTATTTAATCCAAAATTTAGGGGACTTCAAGTACTGTCATTAGTAAATATTTTCAAAAATATAACTGTTGTGTATTTCTAAGCAGTTTAAGTGCTAAAGCTTCCTTGTAAAAGCACAGTATTTTCTACTGATATCAGCAACATGTACATGTTAGCCTCCAACTTTTAATATAAGCAGCCTTGTAACCCTTCAATGCTCCTCAGTCTCTGGCAATACAGAAGCCTGAATAAAATGCTAGACCACCAATTTCTAAGATTTAAGTAGAAACACTCAGCCACTTTTCTGTTCTGCCCTGTCCCTACCTTAATGTTCACAGGTGATTCTCAGGAGGACTGACCCCAATTAGATCCCATCTCAATGTACCCAGGGAGGAACAAGCCAGGATACAGGAATGGCAGATGAAGATAAATATCTCCCTGACTTTCAGTTGAGACTATATCTGCATTTTGTTTAAAGTGACATTACAGTGTAGGATGAATTCAGCTACTCTGCAAATCAAGGAAGCAGAGCAGCACAAAAGGAGTAACCAAAAGTTCCAAGGAGTTTATTTTCTGAATATGGGGAAAAAGGAGATGCAGAGCCAGCAAAAGACAAAAGCCATGTTTTTATTTTGCTTTTTGATCAGGAGCATTAGATGGTCTTTAGAACAGTGAGCACTAATGTCCTAGAAGATTAAATATGGAGAATTAACTGAGTTGTCCACGCTCAACAGTTTCTATTAGTCTGGACTCAAGCTGCCTGAAGCTAACTAGCATGGCAGAGGGCACAACAGTAATATCTATTACCTATTTACAATCAAGTCAAATAAGCCTGATAGCTTGTATTTATCTTTTTATTTAGTTCACCTTGATAGCTTTCTGTTAGTTCAGCAGAGGTACAGATTGAATACATCATACGTACATCATGTAGGAATATGGGGACCGAAGTACCTGATTTCCATTGGCTTGGATCTGTTTTGGTGGTGTCTCATGAACTGCAGGACTAACTGTAGTAGAGTATGTATAAGCCACCTGTGGAATCAAAATGGTTTGCTTATTGGCAGCGAGAGCTCTCAAGCAGGGAACACTGTTCTGGTCAGCAATGGCAACAATTGTAGGTAACTGGGCAGTGACTGTAGGTATAGCAATATTTATGGGATTGGCACTTGGTGGGATTACATTTACAATAGGATCAGAGTCTGTAACACTGCTGTCCTTTTGTGGTTCTTTTTTTGCACAAGTTAAGTTCAAAGGTTCTTCTTGGACAGAATAAACACTGTTCTGGTAAACACTAGTTATGGTAGATCTTTCCAACAGTTCTCCATGTTGCTTTGGTAGCGAAAGGTCAAGAGGTTCTATTTGTGGCTCTTCTTGTACACCCTCTGCCGTGTACGTGTAACCCTGTGAATTTCTTGATGAAGAAAGGTTTAGTGGTGATGCAGATGGCGTGCTACTGTGTGAACCATTCAGAGTTGAAGCCCCTGGTAAAGTCTGAGATTTCGTTGTACTGCCAGGATTTTGTGAGTTATTTGTGCTGTTCTGGGGTTCGCTCACATTTGAAGTTGCTGCTTGATCATCGTTGTCTGCGGGGCTGCTTAATTTAACTTGTTCAGGAGAAGATGGTCCAGAAGACTGCACAGAAATCTGTCCAGCTTGCATTTTTTCAAACCACTTTTTTACCACATCCAGTGGTAGGTTTACAGAATCTGCTATTTTTGAAAGCTCTTCTGCACTTGGTTGAGCATTTAATGCATAATACGCTTTTAGGAGTGAGAGAAGGTTCTTTAAAGGTGGCTGACCAGGAGACAAGTTGTTCTCCCCGGTTTCTGATGGGACAGGGGACTCAGGTTTCTCAGCTTCTGCTCCACTGGGCTGGGGAAGCTGAGGAGGGCTTTTTGTTTCATAGTGCTTTAATTCTTGAAGTGCATTAAGATCTCCTGGGCAGTCATCACAAAGAAGACAAGTGCTATCGTTGGTCTCTCCTTCAAAGTTCTTATCTTTCTCAGACTTCACTGTGAGATCTTGTGGTAATTTCTCATTTTTGCAAGTATTTGCAGGAACGGAGTTTTCTTTTTTTAGATTTTGTGGAACAACCTGAAGTTGACTTGGCTGCTCCAAGCTGTAGTTGATGATAATTTTGGTTGTCCCATCTTGGTCAACCAAAGGAAGACTGATAGCTGAAATGAGGGAATGGCCAGCTTGTTGAATAGATGCATTGTTGATTGTTTCTTGTTCTTTGGACACAAGATTAGCATGATTGTTTTCCAGTACTTGCCTTATTACATTACCATCCACTGCCACTTTTAGTACATTTTGAATGTCACTTAAATTGATGCTTATGGGAGACACCAGACCTACTGTTGGTAGAACAACAGCTTGCACCACACCCTGAGGAGAACTGGTTGCCTGCAATGGGCTACCACCACTAAAAACCCCATTTTGCAAAGGGTTTGAACAATTAATTCCTGAAGCAACCACTATGGGCTTGAATTCATAATCCACAGGTTCAGTTTTAATTTGGTTAAGAGGAAGCTGCTCTTGCAAGGGTTTATTTTCTATCTTTTGTCGTATCTGTGGTCTTGCTGGGCTACCTGGTGATGCAGAAAGGGAAGGGGAGGAGCACTGAGACATCTTGAGCCCTGACCGGGCTCGACCATTCACGGGCATCAAACCAATACACTTCTTACTGCTTATGTGTGAACTGTATGAACCAGAATGGGAAAAACGTTTCTTGCAGTTTGGGCACTCATATGGCTTCTCTCCTAAACAGAAGAAAAAATAAAAAAGAAAAGAGAAAAGGCATATGCAACAGTTAACGAGGTTACAGCGCAACTTCATCAAACAATAATTATCAGAACAAATACATCATAATGACCTCTCAAAGAGTTCTAGGGGGGAAAAAAATCTTATCTAGTGAATTGAACAGTAAGAGTATAGCTCTGAGCCAAGGCTCCTTTAACAAGTTGGTGATCCATAGCTATAGGATGGAGCCCACATGATCATATGTTCCAGTATTTCTCTATTTGACAATTATAGATTTCACTGAACTTCATTAAAGTAGTACCACCACTAACTTCAAACTTCTTATATAAGATCTCTTATAACTTATCCAATAAATTGTGTCCTGAGTCTACTTTAGTATGACTAATCTGGAATGATGTCAATTACAGCCGCAGGAGGAACACTCAGTTCTTATGTCCTGATTATTATCAATTAAAATTCTCTAGAAAGGCTTGTAACACACTGAATGATCTGCAAACATTGAAGAAAAACAGACAAGTGCAAAGGACCAGAAAGATGTCCCCATTTCTTCTGTGACAAGTCAAGTTTTCCTTAATTGTAAGAGATTAAGTTGCAACTGTAAATCCTCTTGAGTTTTTCTACATATTCCCCGCAGGGAGCTGAAGGCTGCAGTCAGTGCTTGCAGTATTCCAGAGGGAAAAATATAAGGAAAACACTAGTATTTTAAACTTAGACTTGCAAGACTGCTATTACATCAAAGTCATAAAGAGTAGAAATGGCAACATTAGTACTCAATTCAATGCTTGATTTATTTACCACTGTGGATTCGTAGGTGCTCCTTTAGGTGGTGTTTATATTTAAAAGCTTTTCCACATTCAGTGCACTTGAATTTTCGATTACCGCTGGACTGCGTCACATGTCTCTGTAAGAAAGAAATCTTAATTATTGTACAGCACAGCATCTTGCAGAAACACCTTCTATTTTCACAGTGCAACATAGAAAAAGCCATACAAACCCAAAAAGAATCAACCATAATTGTAAGAGACTGAAGGTAGTATGGGAAAAGGAAACAAATTACAAATCAGGTAAAAACTGAGGCACACATTTCTTCGGAATAAATCTGATACAGTAAAGAGAAAGAAACAAAACAAACTCAAAACACAGTTGCCCCTTCTCCTAAATTCAGGTGAAGTTTACACTGACATGTTAGTAGGAAGTTCCAGGATGAATGCTAGTTCTACTTGTGAAAGCAAAACCATCAAGGAAAAACCCCAAGCCCACTACCCACAGAATATTTCATGCAGGATAGAAAAACATTAAAGTCTATAGAAACCTGTTTAAACTTTAATCGGTTGACTTGATTTTTCCATTTACATGCTTCCAGGGCTTACTGTTGGCCTTGGATCCCTCAATATAATGATGCCACAGGACTGCTCAAGAGAAGGTAGCTTAGTGACAATAAAGGTACTCTTGGTCACAATTAATTTGCAAAATAAATGTGAGAAACCAAACCAAAACAAATAAAAATATGGAGGGGTTTCCCAAGTACAAAACATCAAACCTCTTTTCATCATTTGCACTGAAGCTCTGTGATTATTTTTGTTAGATTTTGCCTTGTGAGAACATTTATTGTTAAGTTCTAAATTGTTTTTGTCTTTATTGCTATACTAGTTTTAAAAAAAGCAAAAGCTAAAACAGACATGTAAATATCTGTAGTATATATGTGACACATATGTTCAAGATTTGTAATTTTACCACAAACAGTATAAATCTGTGAATGTGTATTTTTAAGGACAAAAAATACATGCACTTTTAAAGTTGAAACAGCTTAATTGCCAACATAAAAGAGAAGAACTAGGAATTTTTCTGTTCAAACAACTTGTTTATTAGAAAAATCCCAGCAACTCCTTTTTAAATAGAGCTCATTTGGCAAAAAGATACTTTACCTCTATGGGGATGCACTGCAGATTTTTGGTAACTGGGGCAAGCATTTTCATAAACTCATGAACAGAGTTGTTCGTGGACTCCAGGGACAAACAGGCTGCCCACCACCACCAGCAGGTGTGGATCAGCTACCTCTGGTGTGAGAGCATGGGGGGGAGCCCTTGGCCCTGGCCTGCTGTGCTTGGCAGCACTGGGAGCAGATGCTCACCGAGTGCTAGGGCTCTTCCTGAGCACAGACACAACAACTGGGGCTGAGAACTGTGCTGGAGAAGCAGGGATGGATAAAACACAGGATGGTGACCCTGCTGTGAGACATGCCTGCAGATCTGAAGAACCTTTGGCTGTGCAGATTGCTGGATGAAAGTCTGAACTCTCTGCTATGACATAGGCTGTCCAAATTACCAACCCTTCCTGTTCTACTCCCCGTCCCCCTTTAACAGAAGACAAATTGAAATAAGATCATCTAAATTACTTCCACATACTCTAATTCAACAGTTCCCCTGGGAGAAGCAGTTGGTTAAGCTGCAGATTTTACCTCTCAGCAGATCCTGCTCCCCCCACCCTGATCAGGGTGAGCTGCTTCCTGCCTCCCCCTGGGCTCTGCAGTGAGGTCTTCATTGGAGTTTATCCCGATTAGCACCTGACCCTCATTCCCAGTTTGTCAGCTGTCTTTTGCTAGTTCACATGGCTTTTCAGCTCTGTTTAACTAAGTCCCTTGAAGATGATGTTCTGGAAGACTGTGGCTGACTCACTGCATTTCACTTTAAATGATCCAACTGCAATGAGTCTAGAGGACCGTGTCAGGATTTACTTAAACCTGCTGAGAGTCAGTTACTACTGTTTGTCTTGCATTATACAAGCTAACAAAACTCAGGATATACACAGTTACTGCAGGTCCTGGACTACATAAATATTCATACTAAGTATCAGGGCATGTATTCAATCTGTCAGAAATGTTTCTGCTCCAGTCTTTAAAATCTAATGTTCTGTTTCTAAGGCATGGAAGTCCATACTCCACTTATCAAAATTCTAATGAGTTTTCCTGTTTTCCCAGTCATAGCTGTAAGGTGCTTTAAGCTTTCTGCTAGGTAGTGTTTCCAAATCTATTTTGCCTTAGCTTCTTATATTTGTAACTCTCTGTTCAGCTTTCTTGCTCTCTCATAATACTGTTCAGAATTACTTTGAAGGACCTTGTTTAAATGTGGCTGAGAAATCACAACATTTCTCCAAAGTACCACCTGTAACACTTTCACCTTCATTTTCTCAGATTCAAATGGTTTTCCCCATCTCAGCACTGTTAAAGCCACTTTAGTTTGTGCCTGAGATATGTGATATATTTCTAATACACTGTACATAATTGCTGTTTTCTGCTCATTAAAGAATTAACTGCAACATTCAAAGAATATTCTTCTGCACTCCTTCAAGAACTGAAAGAAGAAACATAAGCATTAAGGTCTTTAACTAGCCACTAATACATCCCTGCACCAAATGTTTACGGTGCTTAGGACTGAAGCCCACCCCTCTCACACCAGAGAACAAAACTAATTAATGAGAATCCTCCAAAATTATTTGGAAGACAGAGATTACAGGTATATCAGGGGTTTTTCACAGATGATTTGACCATGGTTTCCAAGAACTGCCATTTCTCAGCAGTGTGCACGGCACTGTGAAATTCTGAAAAACTACCTACAGGTGCTTCATAAACTGATGAGAAAAAAAATGAAAACAAATATAAGAAGTACTTTTTCACACTTCAACATCCCTTTTGGTGCTTCACATGTGAAGGCAGACGACACATACAGCATCACCTCCTACCAACTGTTCGTGGTGTGGAAGCAGCCAAGGGTGCCGTGAGGAGCAGGGGGAGGAGGGAGGGAAGAAAAAGAAGAAGAAGAAGAGGTGCAGGGTGGCTCTCAGCTCTCTGCTGGAGCAGGAGTAGAAGTTTTGTATACCTTCCCCTGGCTCAGAAGGAGGCCCAGTGTGCAGGTACCCCTTCCACTGCCTCCACTAAGCTAGATTTTATCTTTGCTCGTTGCTTCTTTGTACAGAACAATTATAAGATTGTCACATGATGGACATTACCAGCTAACAAAGTTCTCCAAATAATCTATGGTCAGGTGAAGTTCTTTAAGAGTAAGACATCAAGTTTTAAACATGCAGCTGTTTAAGATCCACAGCCAGGAGGTCTATACTTTACTAATGACAAAATTTTCCATTACTCAAATGATGTAATCATGTATATGCAGCCAATTTTGAAGACATGACAACTTTGCAATAATAACAAAAACAAACAAGTATTTCACATTTACCAAGTATCTGAACCATTGTAGTTTTAATTCTGGCTATGGCTTGAGAGAAAAAAACACACTTTCACAGGTGTAATACTGAGTTCCAGATACTCCATAGAAACAACATTAACCAAATACAATTGTGCCTTCAAAAGTATAAATCCATTAAAATATTTTTTGTAGGAATACAGTTTAAGCTACCCTTTTTAGCAATTCTTCTGAGTGTTTACTCACTTGGTGTTTTTTATTTTTTCATTCAAACTGCATGCAAGTATGGCTTCTATCTCCCCCTACTACTTTATTCTTATGGTTTTAGGCTTGTAACTGAAAAGACTGAAAACAAATGTGGTAGCCCACAAGAAAAGCATTATATAAATAGCATTCATAGATTTTATAGCTAGAAATATAAGATGTATGTAAGATGAAAGTAACTTTTAAAGTGCAAGCCAAGCCAAAAAGGAAGCGAAACAGAAATTAATTGCTCATGGGAAGCATATTTGAGTAAAAAACAACTGCCACACCAGAATATGCTGGTGAGGTTATTCCAAAGCTTGTGAGACAATAAAATCTTTGCAGAAGGATGGCTGATACTTTTTGTACCAATTTAATTGACCTGTGAATGTGAACACTTGTGTACAAAAATGTATCATAAATTTTTAACCCTGTTATATTTTTTGGACTTGGTGATACTTTGTAGAATGGAGGTTAACAGCCAGTGTGTAAAAAAGCATCTCCTTTACTCTGGTTTCCTTAAGTAAAGCATCTTCCTTTACTCTGGGCTACAGCCTGTTGGTTTAGTGGTACCAGAAATGTTGGAAGTACTTTTACTTTTACATTCAGTTTTTCATTTTTCTGTTATATTTGTCTCCTGTTTCGTTTCGGGAGGGTATGAATCTTTCTGGTCTGTCCTCTGAAGGAAACATCTCCCAGCCTCTTTAACTTGGTGGTGGAAAATCTGTATGTTTTTTTCTCTGGATAATTCCTGACTGTTTCAAGTTGGTTCCTGAGCCTCAGAGTGCCTCTGATAAGCATGTGCTGGGGATGGATGATGGGACATTGTGGGGGTAAAAAAAAAGAAAAAGAAAAAGAGGGATGAGAGAACAGAGACTCAGGATCTTCTAATGGTTATGATCAGATGGTTAACTCGTGGAAGACATTCCAGGGACCCATGCCCTCAGGTCAGCCCATGAACCAGAGAAAACAAGCTTATAACATCTTTAGCCTTTTCTGTTGCTTCATTTAGTACTTAACATCATATTTCACACATTTAACACCATATTTTAAACACTAATTATTTGTATATTGTCTTACAGCATGAATTGCATTTAAAAACTGTACCTCACAGTTCAAGCAACACAATGGTTTGTTTCTTAAGGGCAAAAATGCTACAGTAAATTGTGAATTATTCAAACAGGACTTATGAAAAAAAAACCCAGGAAATGTTTCATTAAAGGCTTGAAATTAGATTTAAGTCATAATTTTTATGCAATGGTAACCAATGAACAGAAAAAACTATCAAATTACCTATAAATGTAATAAAGCACTTCTGAAAACAACCCTAGTGCCTAGATGAATGAAAACAGGAATTGAGATCTCAACCAGCTACAGAAAAAGCCTGACTTGAGCAGCAAGCTTGAGTGTGTTCTCTGGGCCTGGACCATGAGCACACAGATGATCTGCTGCTAACAGTTTACCCTCTCTGCACATTTCTGCCCACATAACAAACCACAGCGCTGCTGCAGAGGACAATAACCATAATTCAAATGCCACTTACTGGGTCTCTTCCTGATTTGTGTGATGTCATGTGGCGGTCAAGCTGCGTTTTGTACGCAAAGGTGTAGCTGCACAAGGAGCAGCTGAAGTTATCCTCGTTCTTTTCATGGCGGTATTTGATGTGTTCCTTCAGAGAGGTGAAGCGCTTGTACCCCCGGTCGCAGTACGGGCACGTGAGCAGCTGGGAAAACGCGTCAGGAGTTCCTACACAGGGCACACAAGGCACCACGCTTAAATAAACGAGTTCCAAACTTACTCCCTGCAACAAACAGGATTTACATTTGCACCTATTACTGTAAGAGAACATGCAGCTGCTGGAAGCTCCATTTGTTCTAGAGAAGGACTAGTGGTAATTTAGATTTTTTCCACATTTTGGAAAATGTGGAAAAATTATGCAACCTCCCACCCTATGGTAGTTGCCCCAATGTACCTTGGAGAGAGTCAGCACAATATGCTGACAGGACAAGGTTTTAAACCAAAAGAAAGTAGATGGAGACTAGATGTAAAGAAGAAATTTTTCATGATAAGGGTGGTAAAATTCTTCAACAGGTTGCCTAGAGGGGTGGCAAATGTCCCATTCCTGAAAATATTCAAGACTAGCTTGGACAGGGTTCTGAGCAACACGATAAAGTTGAAGATAATGAGGTTGGACCTAGATGACCTTTAAAAGTCCTGTCCAACCCAAACCATTCTATGGTTCACAGAGATGTATGTGTTGGTAGAATATACTGTCTGCAGGACAGAAAGTAGAGAGATCAAATGTGTGGCCATATATATGAGTCTAACATGGTCTATGGAATTTATTTTGCTGGCTTTCATAAAGTACTTCTGTATTAGTACAGGGAAAAGTGAAACCAGACTGAAGCTTAATATTAATTTCACATGTCTATTTCAAGAAGTCACCATTTAGAAAGTTTTAGCTCCATCCCTTCTTACCAGCATATGTTTAGCCCTCTACATAGGGCTAAACTCATTCTATCCTTGAAAAATTAATTGTTTAAAGGATTGAATAAAATACTTCTTTATAAATTTATCAATAAAGGTATGTTCAAATAAATGTAGGGTTTTCTGTATTTGATCAAAACACCAATTCATAGGTGTGATATCCTCCAATGACCATGCTACTCTTCCTTGCTTCAAGTCAAAGAGGAAGCAAGTGTTGCAAGGATGCACCTATGCACTGTGCTGAGCCTGAAAAGGTGGAAGGTCTTTACTGATTAACATTTTATGCTCTGACGCACAAGGGGCACATTTGTACACGCTGTCATTTTAAGTTTCAGAACTGTAAGAATTATTAATGCTCCTTAAATGAACCAGTACTTTAGAAAGTACTTCTGAATTATTTACCTTCATGACCTCTTCCAGCAGTTATCACCACAGATTGATAATATGTCCTATGAAGTAGCAATTAATTCTGTTTGTGTGGAATTTACTAAATTTTTACCGAATGTGCCACTGATCTTGCAACAGTGAAAAGCAATCAGATCACTTTTCCTTATGACTAAAAATCACCACTTTTTCTGTCATATAGGTTCTTTTACACTTGTTACAGTAACAATCAAAATAACCCCTAGGGATTAACCCACAGGGATTGTTTTGTTGTACTATCCATTTTTGCTTTTCCTGGTTTAGCTGAGTTGTCCAAAAAGAAAGGCATCCCCACAGGTGTAGACCAAGTATACTTCCTTTCAATTCTCTTTTTACCATCTATAATTCAACTCATCTGACATAAAGAATACTCCATTTCAGCACAAATACAACTCAGTGGAAATGTCAGAAGCACGTTAGCTTAAATTCTATTTCCATTGGAAGAAATGGAGAAATGAAAACAGTTTCCCAAAATCACAAAAAACTCTGATTCTCTCAGTTCTCTTGTCTACTTTTCCAGTTTGGAAGCATGCATCTTTACCAAATGTCACTATATTTTTGGCATTTTCTGTTCCAAAATGATTAAAACACTAAATACTATTATTCAGCATTGTGATCTTCACAATACTTCTCAGTGAAATTACTGGGATAGGTCCAATTTAAATGATTAATACAAACATGTATTTTTAATGATTACATGGAAATCATATGACAAGTCTGTAAAACTAACTTGACAATATGTGCCACTGGAACCACATATTAAAATCTTAAATTAATGAATGCACTTTTTAAAGTAAAATCTGTAATAGCATAAAATCTCTGGAGGAGCAGAACAAAAAGGTTATATTCATTTCTTAAAACAACTAGAACACAACTCCTAACCATTTATGTAGGCTGTTAGCTTTTCTTGAAAAATCATAAATACTCCAATTGACACAAGCTATCAAAGCTGAACACTTGAGAGAACACAGAATGCCAAATCAATCTCAGCAGCATTCATCTCCAAATACTTCATGATGAAGAAATGAACAAAGTGTAACCTCTCATCTCACACAGAACACCTTAAGCATGAAACTTCTTCAGAGGAAAAAAAAACTATATCTACATAAAAATAACAACAGGTCATTATTTTTTTCACATAAACATTTTTGTATGAACAATGCTTCTTTTTTCTCTGCTGCTGTTCTTTCAGGCAAAAAAACCCAAAAGCCTGTCATAGACCCAATAAAAGAAATTCTATCTAATAGGCCCTATTGGGAGCTTTGTTTAGAAATATAAAAAAGGAAAGAAATACGTTATAAATCTCCTTAAGTTATTCTTATACAAAATTGTACTATTTTGCTTTACTTCTATTTTGTTTAATAAATGTTTATTCTGTTCTTTCATATAAGAATGTTAATGGATTTATGAAAGTATGAACTTCTCAATGACTAGGTTATCATTTAGGTACTCCTACAAGTGAATCCCAGTGCATGTCTCGTTTGCAAAATCAAGTGGCAATGTTTTTTGCATGATGATCCTATCCTCTTATAATTATTTAACTAAGATTTTTTTTTTCCAGTGTAGTAGCATGTATATATACTGCTGTCTTCTTAAGCACAGCAGAAGTTTTGGGTCAAAGAGTGAGTACAACTGATTTCATAAGAACTGAGCTGATGACATATTTACCATTTTCATCCTGACCACTGGCTTCTGGTGTGCCTTGTCTCTGGTCCTCCTCAGGTGCTTCAGGGTAGATAACAGCTGTATCTTCTTGTTTAAGGAATTCTTCAACATTAGGGTCATGGTTTTGCTCATTCTCTGCATCAGAATCACATTCATCTTCTTTTACTAAGTGTGAAAAACAAGACACAAGATACAAAATTAAGTTTAAAAATAATATAAATGGGATTCAGTAATTCACATTGTCAAATATCCCTCTAGCCAAGTATTTAAAAAGTCTTTACAGATACTAGCATAGGTCAAGTCCTTTAAGATGCCAGATTATGCCCTGTTTTGGAAGAATTGGTAGCATAATGGTATTTTAAAACTTGACTAAACACAGTTTGCCTAACTCAGTGCATTTTTGTCATTTCAGATTTAGCTGCTCTTCTCAATTTCCCTAAAAATCTTAAATGCAACATTAATCATGATTTAGGCCTTGTAGTTGGAAAGCCTGTTTACCATCTTGGCTCCTGTGTTTGCAAAAGTACATTTGTTGCCTTCAAGACACAATTTTTAATGTTATTTATAGCTGTTCATTAGCACAAACTCAGAAGATATTTGAACTCCGTAAAAACCTGGCCAGATAAATGCAGCAAACTTGAACTCTGACTGGCTTGTTCTGTGGTGTTGGAAATGGCTACCAAAAAGGCTTCAGGTCTAGTAAACAACCTTCAACATTTCCCACTTAAAGACTTAAGAGAAAAGCCCAATGAACAACTGTATTGCAAAATTAGCAAATAATAAATTAAATATTTTACCTAATGCTTGTGTGATAAATATTTGATCCCAAGTATTAGCCTAAATACAATGTTCATAGAGTTTATTTTTACCATAGTGGAACATTCTGTGAAAGCTCTGCCTGCAGCACCTTAAATCATTACAGATGTTCTTCACTATTAATGTGAGGTATATTTTTAATAGGAAAGAGAAGTTTTATGATTCATCTCTCAGTGTGAAGTCACATACTCAATTTACAATTTGACACAATCTTTTTATGACATGAGGCAGTCTCTTACATGTAGACTATAATGCAATGAATAATGCAGCTCTCCACACTTATGTGGCAAGAACTGACTTTACAGGAACTGAGAAGAATGGGTGAAACTAGAGTTTAAAACATATCAATGTGTTTAGATGTGGCTTTGCTTTTAAATAGACACTCTGATATTATCTACCTATCTAGTAAGGGCATTAAATAAACCCCCCACAAACCTTTAAGAAGTTGGATGGGATATATATTAATCTTCTGGCAGGCCGAGAAATGGAAAAATAACAAACCATCTATTTTTGTTTGAGTCTGAAACTGAAGTACACATTTCATTTTGCTTTCTATGTAATCAGCCCAAACAGAAGAGTGGATAATAAAATACAGTATTAGCTTAAGTCTATTTTTGTATATTTCTTCACAGTTTCAAACACTACCTGTTGACCCTACATGTAAGCTCATTGCTATTCCTTGCTCTGCCCTTTGGAGATGCAGTGCTGCTGGAGCTGTGTGGTCAGTCCCTGGCAGGGAGGGAGGGAGGGAGGGAGGGCTGCTCTGTGGCCCTGGTCACCTGCACCTCTGGACCCTGGACACCAAAAGATGCCCAGACTTTTTTCCTCAGCTAAAACAACTTTTACAGTTTAAGACCTCTAGCATGGAAAAGCAAAGCACTTTTATAAACAGAAGTGGGAGAATTCCAAAGCTTTTGGAATGATACCTAACTCAAATTCAATAGCACTTTATGAATAAGGGACTCAGATTAACAAAGAAATACCTGTACATCCAATTTCATCTGTCTGAGCTTCAGGCCCCAGGATTTCCTTTCTTTCTTTTCCAGCTGAAATAGCACATTTCACAAAAAGAATGAATATTTAAAGAAAACCCCACAAAACAACAACAAAAGCCACATGCACTCCAACAACTTAAGATACTTGAGTTATTTCATCAGTGCTTTCCATTTCTGTATTGTTCAGGAGTGCATTTAAACACAATGTTCTTTTAAAAATATGGATGGCACATTATTTCAGCAGTGTGTGATCAGTTGAACCACAAAGATATTTCATACTTAAGAAAACCAAACCTAAAAAGGAAGCAATACTAAACACTGACCATTATGTGAAGAGAGATAAAGCCATGGACAGTGTGTTTCACCAGCAAATAGAGAGTCAGCTACTTAAGTGACCCCATGTAGAAATGCAGCCATCTGATACATTGAATATTATTTCCAGAAATCAGAGCATCATAAAATAAATGCAGTTATGTTATTTTCTCCAATTAGCGGTTTTCAGAAATGATTGATAATTTGCTGGTAATGCCTACAAACAGCAACCTAATGTGTTCTCTTTCTTGCAAATTATCTGGAAACCACTTAAGGCTGTGATTGCCTTAAAAAATTAAACAAAAAAAAAGGATTTTAAACACGTGCTCCCCGTTCAGAACAACTGTGCTCTGCAGAACTGCTTCACGTATCGATACCAATACTTGGTATGAGTCTGCAGAACCAGCACTGCAGAGCCAACCTGCTCCAGCTCTACCAGCTCTGCTGAGCTGCAGCCCTCAAGGATGCAGCATGGAAGTTTTAACTCTAATTTTCACCAACAGGTTGCTGGTACAAATCAATAAACAGCCAAGTTATTCTTCATTTTGGTTCATTGATTAGCACAGACTGGGAAGCTCCCACAGGAAAAGCCACTGCTGACATTTCTGTCGGTACCTGGCTCAGGGCAGGAGAACACAGCAGAGCTACATTGCTTGGTTTGCTCTCTCTCAGTCCTATGCTATGCCAATAGATGTGAAACTAAAGTGTTATTTCATAGTTTCATTATGGAAACCTTGGATGCTACAGACCTACACTCAGAAAACACCTTCTAGGTGATGCAGAAAGTTAGAGCACAGCTGCTCTGACCTGAAAGGGCAGCTGTTACACTTCTATTACTTATACTTCTTTTACCTTCCTTCACTTTACTTCAGTGCAGGAAAAATCCTTTAGGTTGTCAAGTCAAAAGCCCAGAACATTCTAGCTTTTTAATTACAGAAGAAGCCAATTTCTCCTTTATGGAAGGAAGATGATAAAACCTAGGAGAACTTTCAAGTTCTCAAATAATACCAGCTTCCTCAAAGGAAAAGCTTCTTAATTCTGCCTACTTTGACCAAAGCCCACAGACCCAAGGTATCTGCAAATAGTGGCAATTCAAACAGATTTCTTACTTTAAACAAGTAATGTGTTTAAAAGGAAACTGCAATTCTTAAATCTTACCTTAATTTCAACTGACATCTTAAAAACCCCTCAAATTTTGGCTCATGGTACCAGACTTGGTTCAGAGTTTGTAAGATGGATGACTTGATGCAAAGCAAATTTAAACTCAAAATTTAATTTCTTAAAATCAAACACAATACAAACCCACTGTTTTCCTTGAAGGAGGGTTTTTGATGGTTGTGATTTTTCTCCATTATGAAATAGGATCTACATGAGGGGAGGATATCAATCAGTAAGTTATTACTCTGGAAATTTAAATTACAGGGTCGCCAGTAAATTCCTCTGGCTTCAGTACAAATAAAAGTTATGCTTCCCAAGAGAATGTCAAGGAATTTATGGAATTATAGATTAATCTAGTGAAGTTAAACTCCCTCTCAATTCTAATAATCCTAACCTCTGTTTGGTACTGTCTCTTCCCAATGACTAAAAGTAGGGTATAAGACAGGGAGAAAGCTGTAGGAATAATTAATAATTTGAAAAATATTAATAGATATACATCTTTATAGCTATGTATGGTCCACAAATTTGCAATTGTGCCCTCAGAAGCCCAGTTATCAGACAGCTGGGAAACAACAGAATGGGATGTGATGTGATGATGGGGGAACAGACCTCAAGACACTGTTCCACCAAGCAGCAGTCACAGCTCGGAGTTCCAGAGGAAATTCAAGCTACCTGCTAAATGACAGCTTAAATAGAGGTCTCCACAAATAGCATCTAGGTCATGAATATCCATCCTGGTATTGCAGCTGGACATACCAGATAGTGTAAAACAAGTTCTTGGCCTTCTACATCTCATCACTGCTTATGAGCTACTGCTCAGAGACACACTGGGGCTTCCCAGGGTTAAATGCTGATGATTTTCAGATGTCAGGGGACAGTGTTAACTAGCAGCAAACATGCCTGACAACTACTGGTATTGGCTGACAGTAAAGATCTCTGCATGGCTAAGATAACTGATCAAATTGAAACCACTAGCAAAGTGGAAATTTTGGCTGTAGGCAGAAATACAAACTTCACTGAAATTTCCACTGCAGTCTTTATCTGCAGAGGAGGAAATAAATTCCAAAGCCCATCGAGAGAGTTTCTAATTTAAATTCTTCAGAGCTAATTTTCTGATATTCAAGTAGCAAGCACTATTTACAGCTTGCAGTATTGACTGGTTGTTTGCTTTTTGACCAAAAACATGCCTCACACAACCCACCAAATGCCAGTGTACACTTTTGAGCATATAGGCTCAATCTAAAATTTGATGACTTCAAAGAATTTTTGAATTCCAGAAAGCACATAAACATAAAACACATTTATACTTTTTTCAAAGATATCTTAGTTCCAGTCCTGAGACCTCCAGATCTGCTAAATACTTATAGTACATAATAATTCTCTTTTAAGAGCATTAATACAATAAGTTTAACTCTGTCTTTTTTTTTTTTGTTTTAATTGTAGCATAGTTTTTACTTCTAACTAAAGCAAAGGAAAATCATATTAGAGAATCATTGCACACATGAATGCTGGCACACTGTCAACAACATGTACAGGATACACGTGGTTCACTTTTTTAAACCCTTAGGACTGTTTCAGTTAAACCTCTTGAGAAACACACCTTATATTTAAAACACCTGTTCCTAGGGTCTTTTAGAAATTCAGTTAGAATGACTGGAAACGGAAGGAAACTAATCTGATACAGAAATGTTATGTGTGTTGTTTCTATTCTGGGCAATGCGTGAACAGAATAAATATGCAAAAAACTCATTCTGTCAAGTTCAGCTAAACCCAGAACTACTGAGTACTACTTTACTGATGAAACACAACTTACTGAAACTGCTCTAGAGTATATTTTCCTAAAGGTAATCACTAGTCCTGAAGATAGCTGCACACCATCTACACCAGAACATTCCCCTGTATGTGAGAGATCCTGTATTCAGTACCTCTCTCTTCATATTTCTAACATGCAGCCAAGACTGATGATGTGATTTTCAGCTCAGACCTTTCCTTCTAGGAAAGCTATCAAAAGAATAAACAGTATTCTACCCTAGCAAATCAAAGCTCCATAAAACCTAATGTAGCCTCACTTTTCACATACAGCCATTGCCAGAAATTTCAACTATTTATTAAAAAAAACCCCTATTATCAAATTAAAAAACCCTTCCAGACTGCTACAAAAGAGGCTTCAGAATACATAATTTTTACAGATCTTTTACAAATCTGTGGTGTTGAGCAAGCTTGTATGGCAATTGATTAATCTTTTGTCTGGCTACCAATGAAATTCTGTCTTCACTGGCAAACTCCAAAGCAGAGAGACATTGCTTATATTGCAAATCTTCAACCACAGAAGAATTTAAAATTAAAGAGAAGTTAGAATTTTAGAAAGCAAATTTTTATAAGTTAAAAATGGTATGTTTCACATAAGGAGTCAAAAAAGATGGCAGTGCATGTCTAGAGCCCTGAAAAGCCACAGAAAGTTGCCCCAGATGCTGTGTGATGGGTACATCTCCAGAAAACAGCCAGTCCAAGAGGTCTTGATCCCAAATGTCTGGGAGCCAGTGCTCTTCTTCCTTCCCCTTTTCAGATTTCCTACACCTGTCCTTGAAGGGTTCAAGCCTACCCAGAGCCCACTTTAATGTAACCACAATTTCTGAAGCCTGCAGGAGATATTACAGGAGAACTAAGAAAATTACCTACCTAGTAATTCAGCTCCAAAACACTCATTTCCCAGCACAGCATACCTTGGCAGCTATGTAAAAACAGGCTGAGCTGATGCTGTTCTTTGAACTCTCAGCTGCTCTCTCTCAGCTGGACTGCAGTTAGGGCCATATGAGTGCTTTCAGTTTATTTAGATGTGAGGTCATGCACCATGTATTAAACCACCCCTGTTAAAAGTGGATGCTAGGAATTGTTGCTGGAGTTCAGATATGCTGAAAAACATTCTGTATCTTTCAGGGCATTAAGGCCAAATTCCACAGTAAATTCCACTAATTTATACATTTATCCCAATTTGGCTCAAAAGTAAGCATGCTGTGTGATATTATGAAACTCAGTATCTGGTTCCACAGTAAAAAAAGGTCCATTTCCTGTCTGCTTAAAATTTTCAGCTTCTAAACCTGCTGCATAATATGTGCAACACTTACCTTCTTCCAGTATTTTCAAAGTAATGATTCATTATGATTTACATAGCCAATTCTAAAACTAATAATCTAAAAATTATTTTTTCTGCCTGTATTTTACAAGGAAAAAGAGAGAAATTTACATCTGATTGGGTTTTTTTCATGTTTTTTGTTTACTGCTTACTCCCCAAGCTGAGCCAATCCTGAACCCTACAAGGAGCTCTGGCAGAGACCTGCCAGGCAAAGACTTGAAAAAACCAAGATCAAGTAACTAGTCTTTAATCAGCCCTTGGAATGCTGCATCTACAGTCTGGAAGCTCCTACTAAACAAAGTCAACAGAATTAATGCACCTCTGAATCTGCTTCAAACAATAAATTAAGAAAATAAAGTATGTTAAATAAATATGTTATAAAACCTCTTTTTTGGTTGTGAATCTTACATGTTATTTCAGTAATAAAGGAACCAAAAAAAGTTCTATTGAATCTTCATTTTAGAAAACTTTCTTTCCATAGTATCATCAGTAGAAATGAACATACCTTCATCTTCCCAACAAGTGTTTGTACTCGCTTCTCTTTCACTGTTTTCTGGTAACACTATATGGTCCGTTGGCAAATCATCTTCTGGCACACTAGCATCACAGTCTGCTGCATCTGTTACACTTTCCTCTTCCACTATATGCAATTTATCTTCATCATCTGAGTCTGAGTTTGCTTCTACCACATTGTTATAATTGGTGACTGTGGAGAGACAAAAACAAAATACTGATCAACATACTCTTAACTGATGGCATGGGGTCACATAATTATTGCTTCTTGCCCCGTGGGGATGGCACTGCCTTGTGAGCAGCTTGGCTGTAATGTCACACACAAGGAGCACCTGACAGCTCCCGGGCTCCCACCACCTCTCACTGTGCACACCCAGTATAAGGCTGCACAAGAGAAGGCAGCGGGCAACCCCAGAGGTGGAGCCACAGTGGAGCAACAGAATTCCAGCTGGATCACTCCAATGTGGATGCCAGCATTGCCAAATGTCTCATTTATGATTATTATGGCACTGAAGACCCCGTGGCCTCAGGCACAGCACCCTTCAGAGAAGGCAGCCCAGCTGCTCTCGGGGCCCCAGGAGCAGCCCTCTCCTGCAGGCACACACTGTGTGCTCCCCCAGCCCAGCTTCCCACTGCCTCCTCCTGTAACCAATGGCACCCCATGCTCCAGCTGTGGGAATCACAGGGAAACAAGTGGGAACAAGAATGAGACTGGATTCAGAATGGCTTAAGTGCTCCTGATCCAAGCTAAAAGCTCTTGTAGCTACACCCATTAAAGCCTCAGCAGGATGAATGTGAAAGGAAAAATCACAGAGATCACTTAGATAGGGAATTTCAAGTAACACTTGCCCAGTTACCATAAAAAGGTAATAATTCTACTTTCTTAGCCTGGAGAACATACTGCAAGTCTTTGGACAAAGGATTACATGACAATATATATGTTTCTGTCATATGTGAGCAGATTATTATTATAACAGTCTTCATTTGTCGGCACAAAAGATCAGTTACGGTCATTTCAGCTGAAAATGTAAGGAACTGTAAGTAAACTGTATTAAGAAAAAATTACTTTCACAGTCTGTTTAAATGTCTTGTTACTCACACTGAAGTTAAACTATGAAACAGATCTACGTTGGTATTATTTCTCCACTGCCAAGCTTGAACTTCTTACTAAAATGCTTCAAAATACAGTGTAAGAAAGAGAATAAATTTATAGATGGATAAACCAACAAGACTTGGCTGCAGCACTCCTTCAATGGTTATCAGAATTATACCTGGGAGGCACATAATCATGGTACTTTATGATACCTGCATCCTGTCACTGTTAGTTCACAAGAAGCCACTGATTATTTCATGTGAAATACTGCCTATTAAAGTAGATAAATAGCAAACCAGACTCCTGCTCTTCTGAAGTTAGCTCTTCTTTTTTAGTTTTTTTAAAGTAGATATTTTAGTCATTTAAAAATGCATGTAACCAGGAAAAGTGAGTAACATTATGAACAGATAGGCTACCATCTCATTTCCTTCCAATTCAGGAGAAAAATGTCTCATCTAAAACATGCATGAGAATGACAAAAGAGCCTTTTCAATTTAAAACAATCATTCAATGTTTCCATATTTTACACAGTGCTATTTGAAAAATGTAGTAACTCCCCACTACTCATGGTATTGACATCTTCTAAAACAGCAAATTTAGGCAAATTGCCTAAAAACTAGTATCTGGTCCATTTCAATTGATAAATTGATATTCACTTAATGTCCTCTAATTGATTTTGCCAAGTAAAATAGCTACTGTAAGTGATGCTATAATACTGTGTGATATAGAAGACATACAAAAACAGGAGACAAAATTCCCTCACCAAAGCAGACGAGATTTATGAATTCATTCTCCTGAGGAATGGTAAATGCAATTTTAAAAGTGTGAGAACAGACATAAAACAAGAGGAAGTTGAAAATAATTTTAGCCTTTTCTCTTGATTGGGTTTTACTCTGAGGCTTAGATGCAGAGTATTATTAATATAAAATAGCAATGTATTTTCATTTGCCACATATAAAAGAGATAATTAAGAGTGGGGATCTAAATTTATAGGGATAAGTTCAGATGTAGATAATGAATACTTTATTTTTTTAAATATAAATTTCCTATTTAGTTTGGGAAATTAAGTGGTATTCCTTATATTAGACTTAGAGTGGTTTTATGGAAAACAAAACCATAATCAAACAGTTTGTCTTCAAGAATTAGACTAATGGAGAAAAAATGTTTCCTCATTAAATACATTACAGATTTGATATAGTCATTAGGGCTCTCTTCACCATGAAACATTTCCATTCATCCTCACTATACTCAAGTGCCAACTTTGCAAAAGTTAAAAACTCCTCCTTCCTTATAAAAAGCAAAACTGATCTTTGGGATTTCAGTTTCTTTCATTAAAAATCAGTTGTCAAAAAGGCAAGACAATAAAGCATACAAGAAATCTGGTTTTAACATTTTTTCCTTCCTCTCCCCAAAATACTTTAGGGAAAATAAAACTGCCAAAGCTGCATCAAAAAGGTCTCAGCACATTTGGGGTGGCCAGGAAACCCACCACCAAACACAGCAGAAAGTCAAGCACTTAAAATGACAGAAGCACTCATATATCTACACATAATTTTAATGAAATGATTACATGCTGCTTTCCTTCTGCAAGATCCTTGCCTCATCTAGTGCAGTGATAGCAAATACAAAGGGAATGCTCAGTTTAATGGAGTGAACTGAATATTTGTAGCCTTCTGCCTCATTTGTTTAGATTGCAAAGTGATTGCTCAAACTTCTTACTCCCTTCAGCCAGCAGTGCACCCAAAGTTTCCCTTATAGGATGTTAGCCAGAATGGGATTCCATATTATATATTATAATGTATGGCATATGCTTGTATGCAATATATTGTAACTATTTATTGTACAATTATATGATTATATATTTTATATTCTACATAATTCCCTTAGATGGTATTCAGAAGGAATGCTTCAAAACACATAACTAACTGAACTGTAGTAGGGTGATGCTATCTCCATTTTGCAGATTGGAACCTGGTTTCTTAAAACCCAGAAAAGTCTTCTGGCAATCCTGGCATTGCCACGTCAGTGCAGGGCACTTTAGGCTGTACTTTTCAGAAGACTTTGCATTCATACAGTGTTTTACACATTCAAAGCACACTTGTGTTCATTCCAAATGCAGCTGTGCCCAGAGCCCAGGTACCTTGGCCCATGTGCCACAGCAACCAGAAACATAGAGACCACTTCCAAATAAATGACCTTCCAGAATCACATAAAACCTCTTTCAAAATGAGAAAGTAAAATCTAGTCTTTCTGTGGAGCTTTCAAACGCCCTGGAGAGAATGCTTTTGATTCCTGCAGCCCTCTACTTAAATTACTCTGCTTTCCAGCAATTAAGGCAAGGGTTCTGGAGGCAACAGCTTCCTTTAATAAACACCCCTGATTTATTCTCTGGGCAGCATTCCTCCTGTGAAAAAATTATGTGATCACATAATTAAAGATCTTATCGTTATGCATACATGCAAGAGACAAATTAAAACAGTTTGAACAATCTTCATTTCAACATTTTCCAACTTTTTTTGAATGCTCAGCTTTCAAAGTCAAGTGTTTGATTTCAAAGAATGTATTAACACTCTTTAATGGAAACGATGGTTAAAAAAACAATCAAACCCTGTAATTTACTGTATTTTTAGCTAATTAAAATTAAAATCAAAATCCCATTACATGATACCATACTGATACCTTCATGGCTGCAAATCTTAGCTTTAGCAATGCAGATTTGCTCCTGGCACCCTGCAAGATGAATGGGTGGCAGTAGGAAGCTGCTGCCTCCATTTGCTCAGCCAGATTTTGGCTCCATGTTTCACAGGAACTATGGCATCTGGCATTCAATTCCAGGGGTAATCATCCTCCCCCTCTCCTTTCTTCAGTTCAGTCCTACAGCCAAATTTAAACCTTCCCTATCTGTACATAATTTTGTGTGTTTTCTCCTCCCATCCTAGCTGTTTCCTCAGAATAGTGACCACTGAAAGAAGAGGACAACAAGCTCACAAGCCTTGTTCAATGCCTGGCGCCAGAGTAGCTGCTGAAGCTGGGAGGAATAAATTTCATTAAACCTTTCGGATAAAGATTGAAGTATATTCAATACAAAAGCAATACGTAGAGACAACTGCTTACAATCTCAGAAAGAAATTAAATTGACTATACATAAATGATGACTTCAAGGGGCTTCTAATTTGGCAAAATATTCCATGCAGAAAATAAAACACACAGAAAACCTTGCTTGGAACAGCTATGGCTTCCCAGTGAAGGAGCTACAAGTATTTCAGACTTCAGTACTATTTACTTTTAGCTAATGTCATTTAAAAGTAGTGACTAGCTAAATAAAATAATTCAGCCTGGATCACAGAAATTTGGCACCAACAGCAGTCAGTGTCTCCAGGATGAGACATTGCTCTGTGAAAAGCAAGGACAATTAGAGGGGTTACGTCACCCTCGGCCACCACCGCTCCAGGGACGGCCATCAGCCACAGGGGACAAGCTGCAGACCACTGAGGGGTGTCTTATCAAGATAACTGTAAAAGCCACAGATCATGAGCCATGGCTGTAATCAGCTGCAGACAGGTCACAGACAAGCAGGTATGATGTATGACACACACATGGGCCTATTCTGTTCAATGTACAGTATGACACTTCAGCAAAATTTTACATTATTAAAGTTTAATTATTAATTTCAGCTTTACTTTCACAGATTAATAGAAAGCCTCAAAAAACATATTATAAATCACACTGAAGACTAAATATTGATTCAATAAAACCAATTTTTATATCATGACTATATAAGATCTCAAATAATTATGAAACCGTAATTAAAAATACATTTTATGAACCATAATTACTTTTTTCCTCTTGATCACTTTCATGATACAGTATCCTGGTTCTTAAAGAACAATCACTAGCTGGAGCTGAAATTTTCCTTGCTCTAACAACAAATGACTGCAAAATGAACTGCAGCAAATGAGCTTCACTTTCTGGATTTTTACAGTCCTAAATGCATGACATTGCACAATTCTAATTAAAAAAGAAATGTGCTCAGATGGAAGTAGTGATTAAAGAGCTAAAACAGAGATATATATTATTTTGCTGGTTGAATACAGGTGGGC